GTGAGGAAACTGAGGCACAGAGTCACAGGGTCAGCGGCAGGACACAGGCTCCCAGGTGCTCTCCTCATGGCTCAGGGCTCCGCAGCCTGAGGTGTCACCAAGACACACAGCGGGTCTCCTGCTGCCATCGCCAGACCATGGAGCCCATCTGTTGCCACAGGTGCGCCTTGAGGCTCTACGTTGGGCAGGGACGGGCAGGTGGTGCCGGGGGACGTCGAGGGAGAGCAGGATTGAGAAGGCGGCACAGTCAGAGAGCGGCCCTTCTGAACAGGGGCTGTGGGATCCACTTCGGTCACTGGTAGGTGCCCAAGCTCAGAAGAGGGCCAGACGTTGATTAGGGTGAACGTGAGAAATTACTGGTGCTCAACTGTCTTGTAAACAGCCCTATTAAAGTTAATTTTCCCATTGAAAGTACATTGTTGAGGGGCTGGGGATTTCGCTCAGAAGCACAGTGCCTGCCTGGCAAGCTCAAGGTTGTGAGTTCGATTCCCAGTACTGGAAAAAAAAAAAAGAAAGTACCTTGTTGGCTGGACATGGTGGCATACGCCTGTAATCCCAGCACTCAAGAGGCTGAGGCAGGAGGATCATTGCAAGTTCGAGACCAGCCTGGGCTACAAAGTGAGCTCAATGCTAGCCTGAACTGCACAGTAAGACCCTGTCTCAAAAAGAAAAAAAAAGGAAGAAAGAGAATATGTTGTTGAGCTGTGCATCGTGACGCATGCCTGTAATCCCAGCTCTTGGGAGGCTGAAGCAGGAGGATCAGTGTAAACGAGGCCAGCCTAGGCTACATAGTGAGTTCAAGCCCAGCCTGAACTATGTACGTAAGAGACCCTGTCTCAAAAAAAAGAGGAGAAAGTGTACAGCTGAGTGGTTTTCATATATACTGAGTGGTTTTCATATATACTCAGGGTTGTGCAAGCATTCGATTCTGTGGGTTGACAGACACAGGGCATCAGGGTAAATTTTAGGGGCAACTGGGCTGGGTCAGTTCTCAGTAAAGCTTGGAGAGGTACTGGGCCCAGGCCGTTTGAGACACCAGTAGGGTGGGTCACTTTTGCTCTGGTCTGTTTCAGGTAGTGATCACAATCCTGGAACAAAATATATATATTTCATATTTTATCAAAATACAGAGCTGGCCTTCCAGCCATCACACCTCAGTGAAAGGAGTCACTGGTGAGGAGGTAGTATGCTATTTTTCACAACCCTTAGGCTGTAACTACTTGTTAGATCTTTCTTGCGTATCTCTGTCTTCCTGAGAAACCACTTTGAAGATACCACCAGGTATTACAGCAGCCACTAATATTTTCCTGATAATCTGTCCATAACTCTGTAATGTTTGTATTGTTCCTATCCTATTTCATAAATGGATGTATGTTTATTA